TCAGAAGGCGCAGGAGAACAATCCACTGTATTTTTATTATTATTTTTTGTATTTTTGCTGTGGATTTTTTCTTGATCTTTTTATGATTTTGACCTTTAGCGCCCGATCTCACTCCCCTTTCTTGGTTTTGTGGTTTAACTCCTTAGACTATTTCTGATAGGTGTGAAAATGACTGGGTATCAGGCCTAAAGCTGCATTATAAGTATTTTCACCCCTCTTGTTGGAAACACACCTCATCACATAAAGAACTCCATTGATTTTGCCAACAAAGTTCAACATATGAAGCTAACTCCAGGAGAAACCCTTGTATCATATGATGTGACCTCTTTTCACTTACCCATTTCTGAAGCAGTACAAACCATCAGAAAACGACTCCAACAAGACAATGACTTAAACAACCAGACCAACTTCACCCTAGATCTGCACCCTGTTGGATCTCTGCCTTTCCAACACCTATTTCAAGTACAATGTTTTTACAGATGGAAGCACGGCTGTGCCATGCGTTTCTCCAATGTCACCCATTGTTGCCAGTCTGGAGGAAGTGGAACAGAGTGCCCTAAACTCCTTTTGAGGGAACACCACCAAGCCATTGGTTATATACCATACCATACCATACCAATTTATTTATATAGCACTTAAAACAGCAACAAGGCCAACCAAAGTGCTGTACAAAAGAACACAAACATGCACAGCGGACAGGAAAACATAAAATAGAAATACAGATACAAATAGCAGCAGAAGCTAACTAAAATGGCCAACAGAGTAGAGAACAGACCGGACCAAAACAAATCACACCGTGTTAAAGGCAAGCGAATAGAAGTGGGTCTTCAAGCGAGACTTAAAGACTGAGAGTGTGGGAGCCTGCCGGACACTCAGTGGCAACTCATTCCACAGTCGTGGACCTGCAACAGAGAAAGCCCTGTCACCTCTGAGCTTACGACGGGTTTCTGGGACTGAGAGAAGCATCTGGTCTGCTGACCTCAGAGAGCGCGGTGGGACATATGGCTGCAGAAGATCAGTGAGATAGGATGGGGCGGAACTGTTCAGTGATTTAAAAACATACATGAGAATTTTGAAATGGATCCGAAGGTGAATGGGTAGCCAGTGCAGGGAGGCCAAAACTGGCGTGATGTGCTCTCTATAGCCTGTACCAGTTAAAAATCGGGCTGCAGCATTTTGGACCAGTTGTAGACGAGCAATGGAGGACTGACTGATTCCAAACAGAAGTGAATTGCAGTAATCAAGCCTAGATGTTATGAAGGCGTGGATCACTGTCTCAAGGTTCTTTTTGGAGCGTATAGGCTTCAGCTTAGACAGCCGTCTCAGCTGAAAAAAACAGGATTTGACCATCATGTTTACGTGACTGTTGAGTTTTAAGGACGGGTCCATTATCACCCCCAGATTAGTGACCTTTTGTTTCTCTAGCGGGGCTAGAGAGAAAAGGTCAATGTCATGGTTCATGAGTGAGCCACTGGGATGGAACAGCATGACCTCAGACTTCTTCTCATTGAAGCTTAAGAAGTTTAAAGCCATCCAGTCCCTGATGTCAGCCAGGCAGTCAAGAAGAGGCTGAATAGAGCGTGTGCCTCTGTGCCTCAGGGGGAAGTAAATTTGGCAATCATCGGCGTAGAAATGAAAGGGTATGTTGTGTTTGCGGAAGATAGCACCTAGTGGCAGCAGGTATAAAGAAAAGAGAAGGGGACCGAGGATGGACCCCTGTGGTACCCCCCACTGGAGCGCTGTCGATGCCAAACTAAAATCTTTGATATTGACACAGAAGGTTCTGTCAGAGAGGTAGGACCCAAACCATTTAAGGGCTGACCCTGTGATGCCCACCCACTGCTCCAGTCTAGAAATGAGGATGTTGTGGTCGATGGTGTCAAAAGCAGATGTATGGTCCAATAGGACAAGCAGCACAGAATCACCTGCGTCTGTGGATATGAAAATGTCATTAAAAACCTTCAGTAGAGCAGTTTCAGTGCTACGGAGAGATTTGAAGCCAGATTGGAATAATTCTAGGATAGCGTGATCCCCCAAAAACTGTTTCAACTGAGACTCCACAATTTTTTCCAGTAGTTTAGAGGTGAATGGGAGTCTGGAGACAGGCCGGAAGTTGGACATGACTGAGGGGTCAAGGTTAGGTTTTTTCAGGAGGGGCTGGACAGCAGCATGTTTAAAAGTTTTTGGCACCACACCTGAGGATAAACTGCTATTCAGAATAGCGAGGATAAAAGGACCCAGGGTCGGAAAAACTTCCTTTAGTAGTCGAGGGGGGACCACATCAAAGGGGGAACCAGATGGTTTCATGCTGCACATTACCTGCTCCAGAGAAGACAGAGAGATGGGCTCAAAGTGGTCAAACACAGCCACACACTGAGATGGGATGGACAGATCATGAGCTGGCGGAGAAATGAGTGCCCGGGTGTTTGCCACTTTTTCTAAAAAGAAATGGAGGAAGTTCTCACACAGCTCAGTTGAGGCTTCCAGAGGTGAAGGCTCACTGAGGTGTAGAACTGAGTTCAGGATGGAGAAAAGAACTCGGGGGTTGTGGGAGTTGGAGACAATTAAATCAGAGAAGAATTTACATTTGGCAGCTTTAACGGTTTTCTGATAGTGACGCCAACTCTCCCTTAACATTTGAAAAGAAACCTGCAGCCTGTCCTTCCTCCACCTTCGTTCAGCTCTGCGACATTGCCGCCTAACGGCTCGAGTGACGTCATTCAGCCAAGGCTCTGATTTAAGTTTCGTTTTTCTGGTCTTAAGGGGAGCAACATGGTCCAGAACATCTAAACAGGCAGAGTTGAACTGAGAGGTTAGCTCCTCAGTGGTAAGAGACACCGGGAACTGTTCGATCTTCTCAGAATTAAAACCTTCATTAAAACATTAAAACGAGCAGCAGTGAAACAGTTAATGGAACGCGTACATGCAGGAACGCACGTCTTATCAGTATGACAAGGGGGGGTGAAGTCAAACAATACAGGCATGTGATCTGAAAAAACATTGTCACCGATTTTCAAATTAGAAACAGAGACATCGCGTGTTAAAACGAGGTCCAGCGTGTGACCATGTTCTTGGGTGGGGCCGCTCACCTGCTGAGCTAAGCCAAAAGAGTCCAGTAAATCCAGAAAGTCCTTCACTAAGGGCTTCTCCTGACAACACACATGCAAATTAAAGTCACCAATAA